ACCATACATATATATAAGTTTATGGTGTGATTAGTTATTTTTAAATAATACTAAAGAGATTAAATACTATGGATAGCATTTATCAGAAAATTCAGCATTTTCGTAAAGGTTACCCCACATATATCAATATAAATAAGAAAATATGAAATTTTTGTTTTATTGCATAAATACATCATGCACTGACATAGTGTGAATATTAAAGAGGTTTAAGACTTAAGATGTTTCCGATTCTCTACAAAATAGAGATTTTATAGGGGTTAGTCCACTTACTAGGTGGTATATGAAGTTTAGTAAATTACTTAATAAAAAATTAGAAATTATGCCCATCTACCATGAAAATAAGTTCATCATACATATATATAAATTTAGGATGTGATTAGTTATTTGTAAATAACACTAAATAGATTAAATATTATAGATATCACTGATCAGAATAATCATTATTTTCGTAGAGGTTAGCGCACATATTTCATGATAAATAAGAAAATGTGAAATTTTTTTTATTGCATAGATACATCATGCACTGACATAATATGAATATTAAATAGGTTTACGACCTTAGATGTTTCTATTTCTCTAAAAAAATAGAGATTTTATAGGGGTAAGTCCACCTATTAGGAATTATATGAAGTTTAAGTAAAGTACTTAATACAAAATTAGAAATGATGTTCATGTACCATGAAAATAAGTTTACCATACATATAAATAATTTTATGGTGTGATAAGTTATTTTTTAATAATACTAAAGACATTAAATACTATGGATAGCATTTATCAGAAAATTCAGCATTTTCGTAAGAGTTATCCCACATATTTCAATATAAATAAGAAAATATGAAATTTTTGTTTTATTGCATAAATACATTATGCACTGATATAGTATGAATATTAAAGAGGTTTAAGACTTTAGATGTTTCTGATTCTCTACAAAATAGAGATTTTATAGGGGTTAGTCCACTTATTAGGTTGTATATGAAGTTTAATAAATTACTTAATAAAAAAAATTAGAAATTATGCCCATCTACCATGAAAATAAGTTTATCATACATACAAATAAATTTAGGGTGTGATTAGTTATTTGTAAGTAACACTAAAGAGATTAAATATTATAGATAGCATTGATCAGAAAAATCATTATTTCCGTAGGGGTAACCCACATATTTTAAGATAAATAAGAAAATATGAAATTTTTGTTTTATTGCATAGCTACATCATGCAATGACATATTATGAATATTAAAGAGGTTTAAGACCTAAGATATTTCCATTTCTCTAAAAAATAGCGATTTATAGAGATTAGTCCACTTATTAGGTAGTATATGAAGTTTAAATAAATTACTTATTGAAAAATTAGAATTGATGCCCATCTACCATGAACATAAGTTTAGCATACATATATATAAATTTAGGGTGTGATTAGTTATTTGTAAATAACACTAAAGATATTAAATATTATAGATAGCATTTAATAGAAAATTCAGTATTTTCGTAGGGGTTAGCCCACATATTTCAAGATAAATAAGAAAATATGAAACTTTTGTTCTATTGCATAGCTACATCATGCGCTGACAAAGTATGAATATTAAAGAGGTTTTATACCTTAGATGTTTTTGTTTCTTTAGAAAATAAAGTTTTTTATAGGGGTTTAGTTCACTTATTAGGTGGTATATGAAGTTTAAGTAAATTCTTTAATAAAAAATTAGAAATGATGCCCATCTAAAATGAAAATAAGTTTACCATAGATATATATAAATTTAGGGTGTGATTAGTTATTTGTAAATAACACTAGAGAGGTTAAATATTATAGATAGCATTTATCAGAAAATTCAGTATTTTCGTAGGGGTTAGCCCACATATTTCATGATAAATAAGAAAATGTGAAATTTTTTTTTATTGCATAGCTACATCATTCACTGACATAGTATGAATATTAAAGAGGTTTAAGACCTTAGATGTTTCTTTTTGTCTAAAATAATAGAGATTTTATAGTGGTTAGTCCACTTATTAGGAATTATATGAAGTTTAAGTAAATTACTTAATAAAAAATTAGAAATGATACCCATGTACTATGAAAATAAGTTTACCATACATATAAATAAGTTTATGGTGTGATTAGTTATTTTTAAATAATACTAAAGAGATTAAATACTATGGATAGTATTTATTAGAAAATTCAGCATTTTCGTAAAGGTTCGCCCACATATTTCAATATAAATAAGAAAATATGAAATTCTTTGTTTTATTGCATAACTACATTATGCACTGACATAGTATGAATATTAAATAGGTTTAAGACTTTAGATGTTTACAATTCTCTACAAAATAGAGATTTTATAGGGGTTAGTCCACTTATTAGGTGGTATATGAAGTTTAAGTAAATTACTTAATAAAAAAATTAGAAATTATGTCCATCTACCATGAAAATAAGTTTAGCACACATATATATAAATTTTGGATGTGATTAGTTTTTTTTTTAAACAACACTAAAGAGATTAAATACTATGGATAACATTTATCAGAAAATTCAGCATTTTCGTAAGGGTTAACTCACATATTTCAAGATAAATAAAAAAATATAAAATTTTTGTTTTATTGCATAGCTACGTCATGCGCTGACGTAGTATGAGTATTAAAGAGGTTTAATACCTTAGATGTTTACGTTTCTCTAAGAAATAGAGATTTTATACATACTATTATACTTTGAAGCTGCGATTTTGAGGCATTTACCAGTTTCATACATACTATTATAGTTGTAGTTCTTTTTTTATCATATTTGTTCTTGGCAATGAAACTTTTGAAAGCTTTTACAGTTTTATAATGCAGTTTAAGAAAGAAAAAAGACATGCAATGATAGACCATATATATATATAATATAATATTTAGGAATTGTTTAACCAGTGTTGCGGTGAACGTTTTAGTAGCTAGATAAATCATCTTTTACTACATTTATTTCTTCACCTTACTCCAATCCTCATTAGATAGGCTCTATCCATTTAAGCTTCACAATTTCTCTTCCACCAAAGAAAAAGAAAAACTGGCACACCAAAAACGGATGATTTTTAGTTTGGAATGTTAATATGTTATTTCTGTAAATGAATCTTCTTATCACATATTTCAAATGGATTATAATGGATTTGAATTATTTCATAGAATTTTATAGAGTACTGTGTATATATCCATTATTTGATAAATACTCTGTCAAAAAGAGATATCTAATAAAAATCTCACCAATGCATTGACAAGGCCCAAGCCGGAGTTAGACGAACAACTTAAAGAAATTTTCAATTCTGATGGAAAAGGCCGAACGAATAAAAGAGAAAACATGAAAAACCAATTACTCGTTTTTAAATCCATATTATAAAACAATTTTTGATGTTTGGTTTAATAAGGTTGTTTCTGAAAAACCACATAATGCAATTAGACAAAGTTATTTATTTTAAGGAAGAAGAAAAAAAAAAAGAATACAGAAGCAAGTGACAGACAAGAAGACACTGAAAAAGTAGATTTGATGTTTAGCTTCCCAAATTTTAATTTTTTTTTTTTATAAATAACCATAATTAGTTGTTTAATAATCATTGTGTGCCCTTGCGCGTATAGTTTGTCTTTCAAGTTGTCATTTTCCATTGCTGCAGCTAATTTAAAATATATTTGCATCATTCTAACTAACATGAGATTGGCTATAAATCCTTTGTTAGTCTTACTATGATATCGATCAAACGGTTATGTAGAAAAGACAATATACCGACTGTACACATCATAAACAAGTTGATTTTAGGGTTTATGTGATTCTGAACTTCACGAGTAGGGCACGGTTGGTGAGAAACAGAGAGTCTTTTCAACATAATCCCCAAATAAAAAGCAGTTCAGATTCCAAATCAGTTTATGATATAATATAGTGAAGCCAGAAACTAAAACAAAGCCAAGGTCAGATTATTAAAACTTACTTTAATTATTAAATTTACAAATGAACTTCATAACATTCTTTTATGATTTTGGCTTATAATATCTTAATTGTGTGTTTCTTTATAGCATTATCGTCAATTATGACATGCTCTTAATCTACTACTGTAGTATTTTTTATGCTTTCAGTGGTCGGTACGGTATCATATGGTTGAGCATTAACGGTCTGATTCAAGTGTAAGTACGTGGAAACCAAAATTTTAACGCTAGAAGTCAGGTATAGTTGGCTATATAAGTTTCGTGTACAATTTTAGTTCATATCTTTCAGTATTTGTGTTGCAGTGAAACTATTTGGATCTCTAACGCAGAATTGCATTTATAAACATCAAGGTTACAACAACATCAACCGAACGCAAAGGATCCAACCGACGGTCAGAAAAAAACTTGACCTAGACCATAGTCAATGTGTGAACAGTAGTTCAAGCAAACGTCAATAATCTCAACTACTATTCACACATTGACTAAATCCCCAGGGTCAATGCATCAAAAACTAACACGCCAACACCTAAAACACCAGTCCAAACACACATGGATTACACACAACCCAAACTTCAACCAAGACATAATAAATAGACATATAATAGCTTTAGTTATTCATGTAATTTACAAATATAATATAAATATGGAAGTGGAACTTATAAATATATACAGCTATCTTTGGAACTAAAAAAGGTGATGGGTAATGTGATTGCATTCCAACATTAACCTGTCATTGTCTCTTGCTGGAAGCACTCAAATAATTTAAGTAATCTATTATATTCTAAGTATATTATATAATGTATATGTATAATGCACTGCACGTGATATCAAAGGTAAAGTACTACATCTGTTATTATTATTTTTGACTAAATATACTACATTTGTTATTGTTTATTTTTTCGTTTTTAGGTTAACCTAACCAATTTATAAAAAGGGCACGAACACGCCTTCTACTCTTGGGACTCTTCACTTCGTTTTCAAAGAGTCTTTCGTATGGCCAGAGAGCCCTTTCAATTCCAAGGATTATAAAATCGATAAAAAACTAGGGTTTAACATATCTTGATGAAGAAGAGACAGATGGTAATAAAACAAAGATCAAGAAACTCCAACACGTCGTCCTCTTGGACTACTACTTCATCGGCGACCAGTAACGTCCGTTACTTGGAGTGTCAGAAGAATCACGCTGCTAACATTGGAGGTTACGCCGTCGACGGTTGCCGTGAGTTTATGGCCGCCGGCGAGGAAGGAACCGTGAATGCTTTGAGATGCGCCGCTTGTGATTGTCACCGGAGTTTTCACCGGAAGGAAGTTGATACGGAGGTTATTTGTGAATACTCTCCACCTAACGTTTGATTATTTTTAATGATTCAACGTCTTTTTTTTTTTTTCTGCTCTGTGAATTGGATTTTTATCGATTGATTTTTATAGGTGAAGTGATATACTATTTGTATATGATTATTTATTTGTATATCGATCAATATGTATTTTTATATATATAGTTTTATATGCGATGAAAACAACATATATTTATAATTTAGGTTTTGAATCTTGATATAGTTTATATGAATGAGTGGCCTATTCAATACTTTCCTAATTTAGTTTTTTTTTTATAAACCCTATCGGTTGATCCGGTCAATCCCGTGAGAAACGCACTTAGTGCTACAAATTTAGTTTTATTAGTCTAAAAATCGAATACAAGTTACAATACATGTGTGTCGCCTTCTATCTTTTTTTTTCTTTGAATATTGAAGCTCTTGTACAGAAGCTTAATGTGTGAGTGTGATATTGATGAAAATGTATATATAGTTTTCTTCCTTTTCACAAGGAATGTATATACCTCAAGACATTTCCATTCAGTTAAATGTTAATATATAAACATCATCAAAATCGTACCTAGTTAGTTTCTTACAAACTTTGTATATTAGTATACATCCTACTATCCTAGAATCATATTATACGTAACGACGACCAAGAATAATATTGAGTTGGAAATATGGGGAGGCTGATGACAGCTGTCGGATGGAGCAGCTATTTAACTCGAAACTCTAATTTCATTTGAGTTGCTTTTGAATCTAATTTCAATTATGATATAATAATATTTCGTATGTTTGAAAGCGTGAAATTTCTTTTTAGAATAATGTAAGCAACTTTTTTTCAAATCACAAACGGTCCACAGTCCACACATCGAATCATGTTTTCCTTATCGTCTAGGTTAATGGTACTTGTTTACTTATTAAACTCTACAGAATCAAAAGAATAGACGGAAGCAACTATGGCCATGGATTTGGTTCTGCTAATTAGATAATTATATATTGGCTGCTTTTGCGACCATGTAAGTAGGGGCAATTCTCTAAAATAGTATTTTTTAAGTTTTTATCACAAAAATAGATTTCAAAAATTAAAATGATCAAAAAGAGTATTTTTTATTTTGAAAATTTAAAATTTTTTATTTTTTAAATTTGAAACCCTATCCTCAAAACTCCACTCCTCAACTTTTAAACAAAAAAATATATGATTAATTAACCAAGAGGTATAAATATATATATTTTATAAAATATTTAAGTGCTATTTTGATCATTTTTTGTTAAAGTCTATATTTGTGACAAAAACTTTATTAAGTCTATCTTAATCATTTTCTCTTTATGGTATTCCAACTTTTTAAATAGAGCGTATACGTTGATCTCAAGAAATTCTGATATGTATACAGTTTTTATATATGTATTGACATTTTCAACTTTGAAACTCTTATCTTAAATTAATGAAGAGTTTGGCCAACCGTAATAGCTATTATATATTGATATTATGTGAAACATATATTAATTTATATGCGGGAGGTTTCTGTATCAGTGTATTGTTGTCCACTAGTCTATAAATAAACTAGTAAATGACTTTTCGACCCAAAAAAAAACTAGTAAATGACTCGATCGGCTAGGTAATATACTACAATATTATAATATGAAATGAATATTAATCACATCAAACTTAGGTTATTCAATTTGCAAAATATCCTATGAACCCACCCACTAATCAGTATGGTTATATCATTTAAGGATTCTTTGTGTTCGTTGTTTTTTATTAGGACTAAAAGTCCCATGGTAGGGATCTTATCAAGTTCTAGTGTAATTCACATTCAGTGACCATTTACTAGTTGAATTATAGGTACAAAAAATATACAATAAAATGGGATCATGAGGAATGAAATTAAGATATATGTGGAATAATATTTTTTAAAAAATTAAATAATCGTTGTTGAAGAATAAACAAAAGTAAAAACAAAACAAAAAAACAAAAGTAGCCAAAAATGAACAAAACCAGTGGACCAAGACAGGGAAAAGAACCTTTTGGCATATGTAACAATGGAGAGATGTGTTCCTTTGATACATAGGATCGATGTGATTTCATAAGGCCCGCCCTCGAATTATCACATGCGTCTGTTCTTTTAATCCTCCATTCACATTTTTTTTCCTTTCTAAAAACTATTTTATTGGTGAAAAACGCTCAATATGCCAAAGGTTCTTAAATTATTGATAAGTCTATGCTATGTTCTTAAAGATGTTGCTGGTAATCTTGAAAAAATGTAAATAAGATTATTAGTTAGATACTGAACACATCAACTAATTATTGCAAAAAGTTGTATTCAATTAAAAAAGAACATCGTAGAAAACAGTAGAGGTATATATATGAAATGGCCTGGGCTCACATAGTGAACTCACTTGGAAGATGCATAGGTTTCTTGCAAGAAGTTGTATAGCTCTTGAGCAACAAGAGAAGGATACTCTTCTTGAGGCAAGAGTGCACCTTCAACCTCCACAAATTTGCTAACTCCTTTAGCTCCTCTCAGTGCTTCCATCTCAGCCTTTGATCTCTTTGGAGCTCCTTTCGTTGACATCACCATAACAGGAAGCTTCCCTTCCAAATCAGCAAACAGCTGTCGAAACTCCTCCCGGGACGAAACCGGGTCGAGTAAACCGGTTAAGAAAGCTGCAGGGACGTAACGTGATCCCTTCTGCTTTGTTAACTCGTATCTGCTTTGGATTATGGCCTCAGTCACGTTGCTTTGATCTGCGTAAACGTGAGATTTGTACTGAGACTCGATTGATTTCTCGTTGCTCACTAGCATGTTGTACATCATCCAACCAACTCCAGGTGCTCTTAGTGTTCCTCTTAGCAGACCATACCTGTTGGGACACAAACCAGGTCAATCAAGATATAGGATCAAGCCAGGACTTAATGAAAGTTACATACCTTGTCTCCATGGAGGAATCACGTCCAAACACAATAGGGAGAGGTCCAGCCCATGTAGGTGCGACAGCAGCAATAGCTGATGGTTTTAGTAGCCCACGTTGTGTAGCACGGACAGCTAGTGTTGCTGCATGTCCTCCTCCAATGATTACTATATCATCATTACCTGTTTCATTTTAACACTATGTCAAGATATAAACATTCATACACATGGTTTCAGAATAAAGCTTAAGCTACATAATTCTAACACTCATATAAGCTCATGTATAACCAATGTTGAAAAATCGTTAGACATTAACAAATTATTCATTTTTTTATATAATATACATTTATATAAGATATTTTAACTTTTTAGGTTTAATTATAAAATTATCTTGATAAATTATCAAAAACAGATATTCAAAAGAAACAAACAAAAGTTAGACATTTGTAGATTTGTACTAACATTATTACTTAATTTAACATACTTAGACTAATATACTTAGACTAATTTAAATCGATTTAAACCGATTTAGAAATGATCAAACCGATTTAAAATAGTTCAAACCGTATATATAGGATTTTTTTTTTGATAATCCAGGTATCCGGACCTCTCACTTAGTCCGTTTATCCGTTTATATATAGGATTTTAAGCAAAGCGTTTCGGTTAAGACCGATTTGCCGGCTAGACCGATATTCAGAACAATGTGTATAACCAAATATAGATGTAACTAGTCTACATGAATCAGTTTTTTTCATATCAAACAAACAAGAACCTGGAAACTAAAGCCATAGAAGCAATTCATACAAAGCTTTACACTAACCTGCCTGACTCATTGGACTCTCAGGTGAGTTCATAAAGTCAACCACAAACTTCTCCATAACATCTGTATCATAATCCATCTTAAGCTTATCAGAGTAACCAAGACCAGGCCAATCCACAATAGTGGCACGCCAATTAACATCCCCATCACGCTCCACAATATTTCTAGCCACAGATCTCCACTCCTCCACGGTACTAACATCAGATATCGTTGGTATCATCAGTATATTCTTAGCTGATTCACTCTTCTCTCCCTCATGCTCTTCGTAATGGATACCGATCGAGTTTCCCTTGAACTTCCACTGCCACTTGCTTGTCTAAAACAGACACAACATCAAATAAAGATCCCAACTTTTTTCAAATTCTGGTTGCATAAAGATCATAACTTTAATCAATTTATTCAACAAAAACTATATTTTTAGAGCACCCAATACGATTATATATTCCAAATGATCAAACTTTCAATTGAAATTGAGACGATCAGACAAAAACATGAAACCAATAAAACTAACGATTGTTACATAAAGATCATAACTTTTTCAATTCTAGCTCCATAAAGATCATAACTTTCTAGAGCATTATGATAATATCATTTTGAGTAATCTCTTTGTGAAGTCAAATGATCAAAACTTTGAATTGAAAAATTGAACAAAAAGTGTGAGACGTTCAGACAGGACACTAACTAACCTTAGTTTGGACTTTGTCAACGATGGAGATCGAGGGGTTTCCGACAGAAGCTCTAACTGAAACGGGTTTGAAGCTTTTTGGAGTAAGTAAGAGAAAGGGTCTTCTAATTTTGCAAGAAGAGGGAACGAAAGGAGGTGAAGATACAGAGAAAGCAGCTGAAGCAGCCATGGGAAGCGATGAGGATGATACAGTAAAGTTTGAGGCTTTTGGAAGATCTGGTTAGGAAGCGAGCGACGATTCAAAGGTTGAGACTTTAGAACCCCAGAAACCACCAGAAGTGCTTGTCAAAGGCGTTGGAAAAAATCTGCCAGAAAATTTCTATAGCAGTCCATAAATATTTTGAAATTAGCTATTCGTCCATGAAGAATGAAAAATGACACAATCAACCCCAAATAAAGACCTTAAGTTATGAATCTTTTGAAAGTTTTGTGTTGGCAGTGATGTCTCCGTGGATGATGTCGCCGGTAGCTGAAAACGGGAGGAAGCATGAACTTGTTTAAGGTGATTTCTGTCTTGTCTACGGTTCTCAGGTTCGATACCATAGTTTCTTACCATTGAGTTTAGTTACAAATAGCCTTCTCCGACCCAACCACCGTGAATATCATACAATCAGAAAATACTTCATCGTGTTTTTCTTTTCTTTGAATATTATGAGATTAGCGGCGGAAGCAGTAATCCCCAAAACTACAGTATGTAATATTAGTTTAGTCCCATCGATTACCAGAGATGGATTTAGAAACAATTGTTCTCTAGGCAGAACTACAAAACCATGTTCAATATCTATAAATTTGAATTATCAACTTGGACATTATAAAAAAAATCATTACGAAAATATATCAATTTTAAAAATTCATCGTCGTAGGAGGTGGATTACATCCCTCCATCAAAGCCCACGAAAAAATGTATTCGGTCAACCAAAAGATATTTCGGCCAGCCCGACTAGTGATCAACAAATTGGCTCGGCGCCAACTGCCTTAACCGAGTAAAAGGGGATCACCATCCGGGCGATTAATGAGCTTCGCTTTCACGGCTGAGCAAAGGTCCACTATGACAAATCCGTGAAAGTGTATCGCATTAGGTTAGAAGGAAAGTCTGCTATAAAAAAAAGAGGAGGAGACACAACGAGAAAGGGATTCGAAAATAGAGCGGCAACTTGTACTAGGATTTTCCTTATATTTCCTCTCTTGCTTACCGATTAGTCCGTACACCATCTCCGGCTAAACTCTCTGAGCACCGATTAAACTCTTTATATTTTCCCGATTATAAATAAAACTCATTTTTTTACATTTACTCGTTCTCACCTTCATAATAACTCACTTTACTCGTATCACTCTCTTTAGTGATACACGACCGAACTTGGTTCAAACAATGGTGGAGCAGCTGCTCCTCGAACCAGGGACCTCTGGCACAATGACCAAGATTCCTTTCATTCAGTTTTGTCTTTAGTTAGTTAGTTAGTTACTCTGTCTCTTTTTTGACAATGTCTATCACACACCTCCACCATTGCAACACTCTCCTAACTACCTGCAAGAACCTAAGATCCCTAACCCAAATCCACGCCTCCTTCATCAAATCCGGCCTCGACACCGATCCTTACTTCACCGGAAAACTAATCCTCCAATGCTCAATCTCCATCCCCAACGCTTTACCCTACGCTCGTCGCCTCTTACTCACTTCCCCTCACCCCGACGCATTCATGTTCAACACTCTCATCCGAGGCTACTCACAATCCAACGAACCACACAGTTCCGTCTCCGTGTTCGTTGACATGATGAGGAAAGGACGGATCTTTCCGGACAGCTTCACCTTCGCGTTTGTAATCAAGTCCGCGGCGTGTTTTCGGGGTTTTCGAACTGGGTTTCAGTTGCATTGTCAAGCTTTGAAACATGGGTTTGGTTCGCATGTGTTCGTTGCAACTACTTTGATTGGTCTTTACGGGGAGTCCGGGTGTGTTGAGTTTGCTCGTAAGGTGTTCGATGAAATGCCTGAACGGAATTTAGTTGCGTGGAACGCTGTGGTTACAGCGTGTTTCAGGGGGGGTGATGTGTCGGGAGCGGAGGGGGTATTTGGTAAGATGGTTGTGAGGGATCAGATGTCGTGGAACGTGATGCTTGCGGGTTACGTTAAAGCAGGGGAGGTTGAGAGTGGTAAAAAGGTTTTTAAGGAGATGCTTGTTAAGGATGATGTTTCTTGGAGTACTATGATTGTTGGGTTTGCACATAACGGTAGGTTTGATGAGGCTTTCTCGTGTTTCAGGGAGATGAGGCGAGCAGAGATGAGACCAAATGAAGTAAGCCTGAGTGGAGTTCTCTCTGCGTGTTCACAATCTGGGGCGTTTGAGTTTGGGAAGGTGTTACATGGGTTTGTAGATAAAGCAGGGTATAGTTGGATAGTCTCGGTGAACAATGCGCTTATTGATATGTATTCTAGGTGTGGTAATGTCCCATTAGCTAGGTTGGTTTTTGAAAGTATGGTGGAGAAGAAGAGCATTGTATCTTGGACTTCAATGATTGCTGGATTAGCAATGTATGGTCATGGGGAAGAAGCTATTGGACTCTTCAATGAAATGACTGAGTCTGGTGTTATGCCTGATAAGATATCTTTCATTTCACTTTTGTATGCTTGTAGTCATGCTGGACTGATCAGAGAAGGTGAAGATTACTTCTCTAAGATGAAGAGAGTTTACAATATAGAACCAGAGATTGAACACTATGGTTGCATGGTTGATTTATATGGCCGATCTGGACAACTCCAAAAGGCTTACAGTTTCATATGTCAGATGCCTGTTCCACCAACTGCTGTAGTGTGGCGGACTCTTCTCGGGGCTTGTAGTAGTCATGGGGACACCGAGTTGGCTGAGCAAGTAAAACAAAGGCTTAATGAGCTTGACCCAAACAACCCTGGTGATCTTGTTCTTTTGTCAAATGTTTATGCTACTTCTGGTAAATGGAAGGATGTTGCTTCTATCAGAAAGTCAATGATTGTCAATAAGATAAAGAAGGTAACTGGTTGGAGCTTGGTTGAAGTTGATAAAGCCATGTATAAGTTCACTGCAGGTGAGAAAAAAAAGGGAATCATCATTTCAGAGGCCCATGAGAAGCTAAAAGAAATTATATTGAGGCTTAAAGATGAAGTTGGGTATGCACCGGAAGTTGCAAATGCTTTATATGATATAGAAGAAGAGGAGAAGGAGGATCAAGTGAGTAAACACAGTGAGAAGCTTGCACTTGCATTTGCTCTAGCTAGATTGCCCCAAGGAGCAAGTATCAGGATAGTAAAGAATCTGAGAATTTGCAGAGATTGTCACATTGTTATGAAGCTAGCCTCGAGAGTTTATGGAGTAGAGATTGTGGTCAGAGATAGAAGCCGCTTCCATTCATTCAAGGATGGTTCTTGTTCTTGCCGTGATTACTGGTAAAAGTTCTGACTACAACGTTCCTATATCTCATGTTTTTGGGGGAAAATATAGAATGTTCAGACATGGATTCACAAGTCTTCTCCCCAATGAGATTGGTTGCACTGTAGGAGATAGCCTTTAGGTTTGAATGATATCAGAGGCTCTTGGACAGTTCTTAGAACAGTTCTTCTCGTTATTGTTTTTACTTTTTAGTAGAGAGATCCTTGTAGATCATTCCACACAAAAATTGGTACAAAAGTCGTTTAAGATTTTCATTTTCTTGGGCGGCAATACAGTCAAAGAACTTTAAATATTATATAATAAGAAAAATCCTTCATTCAACAAGTTTGAATGTTGTCACATCATATCTATTAAAAAATTCAAACTTCAAAGTCAACTTTGAACGAAAGATAAAATAACACCACAATATGCTTGATGAACAAGACAAAACACAATCCAAAGTAAAGGCACTCACGTCTTAAAACTCTATATAAAGAAGATAAACATCCCCAAGAACTATAGAAGAAAAGAAAAACAGAGTTCTAAAAGAATGGAAGAAAAAAAGAGCAAAGTGACACTACATGGGATGTGGGCAAGCCCATACTCCAAGAGAGTCGAAATCGCCCTTAAAATCAAGGGTATACCCTACGAGTACGTTGAAGAAGATCTAAGTAACAAGACGGAGACGTTGGTCCAACTCAACCCTGTTCACAAGAAGGTTCCTCTTCTTGTCCATGATGGTAAACCAGTGGCTGAGTCACAAGTAATTCTTGACTATATCGATGAAACATGGAAGAACTCTCCTCGTCTCTTGCCAGAAGATTCTTATGAAAGGGCTCAGGTTCGGTTCTGGGTCAGCTACATCAACCAACAAGTAATTTCTCTGATCTTTAGTAAGAAAATTTCAGTACATTTGATATGGTTGTTGTAGGAATGAATGATTGTTTTTTTTTGTTGCAGGTGACTGAGGTCATGGGTCAAGTTCTGTTCCAAGAAGGTGAAGCTCAAGCAAAGTCTATAGAAGAGGCCAAAGAGAGGTTCAAAGTTCTTGAAGATGGACTAAAGAAGGATTTCCCGAATAAAACCATCAGAGGGAATGATGATGTAGGGCTTTTGGACATCATCATCATCGCTACTTTTGGATCACACAAAGTTTATCATGAAGAACTCGGTTTAGAGATATCTCTAATTAATCCAGTGAACACTCCGACATTATACAACTGGATAGAGAGCCTGAAAGAGCTGACCGTGATTAAAGAAGCTGAAGTGCCTAGTGATAGGTTGGTGCCTTTTCTCCAGATGTATAGACAAATGCTTCTCCAGCAGGCTGCAAACGCGTAATAGGGATCAAAATATTGGTCTTGTGATTTGATGTCTCTTAAGGATAATAGATTGAAATTAAATAAAGGCATTTGCCAAGTTATTTCTTGAGACATTCGTTTATGGATTGATGGCAGTTACTAATGTATGATACTGAAACTAAATAAAGGTATTATGTGTGTGTTTTAATAATAGTCTCTGTGAAGGAGATCTTACAATGATACAAACAAAAACGAGTCAAGTACTCAAAATTTTCTACAGCTTCACATACATACCTTGTGCAGCATCTTCACAGTGGTGCCGGGTTCCTCCACTATGGCTTCTTGTAGCATTACCACAAAAGGAAAGAAGAAATGGAATCAAAGCAGAGAACATTTTTCTCACACTTTTCGGGAGTTGAGTGATGCAACAGAACAAAAAAAACTGAAAGCTGCATCACTCAATATCATGTTTAAGAGACCAGAGCAACTCCAACGTATTTGTTTCTTGGATGAAAGCTCACCGGTGACCTTTAGCTACGCAGTCCAGTGTAAGCCACTGCATCAGATTCACATGGCTACAACTGTGTAACCCTTTTTCTTGCGTAGCCTTTTATCTTTAAGACCATCAAAAAGAAGTTCGTAAGCATAATATGTAATACAGCTCTTCTTCAACAGATCCTCCAAAACAAGCTTAGGAGCAGCAACCTCCTTTTTGTCAACATCAAAAATAGTGTACACAGCCTCAGGGACCACCCCTTTCTGAACCATCCGGTGAATAATACCAGCAGCCTCATAAACTCTATCCTCCACACAAAGACAGTTTATCACACGTCCAAGTGTTGTGAGCGATGGAACAATCCCACCTTCCATCATCTCCAGTAGAAACTTAAACCCCAAACTGACATTACCGGTTTTGCAATAACCATCAATCATAAGCCGGTATGTGTATCCATCAGGAGCAAGACAACGATCAACCATCTCTTGGAAAAGCTTTTCAGCCATGGTAACATTTAACTTCTCAGTGTAAGCATGAATGATGATGTTATACGTTGCCGTTGAGCTTGAAACCTTGTGAATCTCTTCCATCTTCCGGAATAACTTGTATGCTCCATCCACGTCTCCGTTTTTGCAGAACCCATCGATCAACGTTCCAAACGTGACCGCATCTGGATTCACATTCTTCTTTTTCATCTCCTCCAACAACCCCAAGGCTTCATCTAGTCTCTTGTATCTGCATAGACTCTCCAGAAGTATATTAAACGTGAATAAGTTAGGAGCACAACCTTTCTCCACCATAGTTTTATAAGTTTCCATCACATCTTCATACTTTGACGTTTTGCAGAGACCATTCAACAAAGAGTTGTATGTATACACGTCAGGAACAACGCCATTGTCCAACATAACATCCAACATCTCAAGTGCGTTCTCCATTTTCAGCTGTGTAGAGTATCCATGAATCAAGATGTTGAAAGTAAAAATATCAGGAAAGTACCCTTTGGAGATCATGACTTTAACAAGTCCATCAGCATCAGAAACACATCCCATCTTGCACAATCCATTAATCAGTATGTTAAAAGTCTGCACCTCTGGAACCAAACCCTTCCCAGACATTTCACTCGCTAACTGAGCAGCCTCAAGGATCAAACCATGCTTACACAACCCTTTGATCAGTGTGTTATAAAGAAACACACTAGGCTTAACTCCTTTCCCTAAGGCCTCATTAAACAAGCCTAAAGCACGGTTTGTTTCACCTTCCTGACACAATCCATCAATCAAGGACCTATACGTAAACTCGTCAGCCACAAACCCATTGAAAACAGCATTACCTAGAATCCTCTCCGCAAGCTGCACCTTCCCACCTTTACAATAGCCAGCTATTAGTGTGTTATAAGTAAAACCATCAGGCTCAAGCCCTTGATTCACCATCTTCCCTAAGTAAAACTCAGCCTCCTCAAACTTCAAACTCTGACATAACCCACATATCAGATTATTATAAGTGACCACATCAGGTTTTGGTCCATTCTCAATCATACACCCCACCATACGTACAGCACCATCAACCTCACCTCTCTGACAAAGCCCTAGAATAAAAAAATTATAAGTATATAAATTCGGCACCAATCCTCTTTTAATAACCTTCTCTAGTAACTTCCCACACTCTTCAACATCTCCCTTCTTACAAAGAACATGCAAAACCTTATTAAACGCACTGATACAAAGCGTAACACCAGAACCAACCATCCTCCCAAACAACGCAAACGCCTCATCCTTCAACCCCTCCTCATAAAACCCACCAACAACAGTACAATAAGCAACCACATTCACCTCACACCCATGACCGTGAGAAGACATATTGTTAAGAAGCCTCAAAGCAGCGTGAGGCCTCCTCGTCTTACAAAAAGACTTCATCCTAATGGTAAAAGAATACACATCAGGCGTGATTCCTCTATCCCTCATCCTCATATACACCTTGTGAGCTTGATCAAAGTAGCCACTATCAACCAACACACTCATAATAGCGTTATAAGAGAAAACCGTCGGCTCACAATCATAAAAATCCATCCTTTCGAATACATTCACAGCTTCTTGGACTTTCCCTTTCTTACCGTAGCTTTTCATTACACCAACGTAAACACCTTCGAGCATGTGGTTACAGAGATTCTGTCTTAATTCGACAAGAACCTGTTCCATGGCGTCGAATTTGCCGTAAAGGCCGAGTTTTTCAATCACGCTGCGGTATGTGGATAGAGTGTGCTTGAAACCATCTTCTTGTTTCATCGAATTGAAGATCTTTAAGGCTTTGAGAGGATCTCTTTGGCATTTTATAACTGCGGTTACATGCCTTGGAAGCAGAGGAGGGGTCATTAGGAGAAGGGTGACTACTTGAAATCCCTAAAAGGTTGAAACTTTCATGTAGGATTTTGGTTGGTTTCGGACTTTGGTGGCTTACCTGAGGAGACAGGAGGTGGAGAAGAAACCTTGTTTGAAACTATCTTTTGTAAGATGCTAAATCTTGTTAGAACAATAAGTTGATATGGCCGAGTTGGTCTAAGGCGCCAGATTAAGGTTCTGGTCCGAAAGGGCGTGGGTTCAAATCCCACTGTCAACATTTCTTTTTTTTTCTCAAACTGTTGTGATTAGTGATTTGTTATGATTTAACCTTTCCTATTTTACTTTCTCTTCAGCTTCTTTACTTGGTTTACTGATGCTCAATATAAGGAAGATGTTGGGGATGGGATCTATGACGACGAGGTACGTGCTTCTCTTGTCTGAATTGTTATAAGTTGAAAACAATATTCATTGTCTGTCCAAATTTGAACTCGGAAACCTTCTGTTGTAGCAGGTCGCTTATATCATTAAAGAAGATCTTTGGGACAACCCGCTCACCTACTTCAACAAGGTAAAACTATTTACCATTTCATTCTTGCTTTATTCAATGGCCTATTGATATAGAGAAAAATGTTGCTTGAGGATTTTGTTCTTGTGCAATGTAGGATACTGATGAAGAGGATTCTTATGAAGATGATGATGATGACGACGAAGAGGTAAAGCAATCATCTCATGTCCCCTAAAAAATGCATTAGTTGGTTGAGTATCTAGACATTGTTATTTTTGAGTTACATGGTTTGTTCATGTGCTTCATCTTTAAATTTCATGAAATTATCTTTCAATCTTTTCAGGACGATGAAGAGGACGAAGATGAGGAATGATGGGCTAGCTTCTATAACAGATGTGTAAAGTGTTATGAGCTTCTCAGTATTAGCAATGATGAGACTAAGCTTTTCTCCTTTTGAATATTTAGTTTATTTACTACCGTAATAGCTACATTATGTTTTGTATGAACCACTTTATCAGCCATAGCAGGCTGGTTCTGGTTACCATCTCCAGCTTCTTAATGAATTAGTATAAAAAAAATTAAGCAACTAAATCAAAGGATTCATGGTAGAATTCTAGAAAACCTTTACAACAAAACATGGAAGTTTTCTTGACCGTAAATGTACACAAGAACTGAGACATCTAAGTGATATAGGCAAATAATATCAAACCTGTGGTATGTAGAAGAGTTACCGGAATCTGTTGTCTTATTTAGATCACACCATTATGTCATTTTCATGTATAAAATTTTCTTTCACATCTTATTTAATCAAGGGAAAATATCATATTCAAGTCAAGCCAATCCAAATGTTCTTTGAATTTCTTACATGTATATCAAAATACTTATTCGTATGTAAAAAAACATTTTCTTATATTTTTGCCAAATTTCCAAAAACAGAATTTTTACCCCAATAAAATAAAAAGCTGCTACTTTACTTTCCTTTTTTTAATTTTTGGCAACAGTTACATAAATAAAGCTTTTATTAAATGGTATCTTTCTATTTGTTAGTACTATTTACTCATCTCGTTTTCACACTTTCTTTCCCACCATTAAAAGCCAAAAACTTTCTATAGGTCGGTCACACAATTATTCGCTCTCTGTTTCTCTCTCTGTCTATCAATCAATCTATCTCCAGTGAGTGGTGAATTAGTGGAGGAAGAATCAGATTCAGAGCCAAAAATCAAACTTTGAGAGAGAATGGGATCTGGAGCTGGAAATTTCATCAAAGTTCTTTTGAGAAACTTCGATGTTCTTGCTGGGTAATGTTCAAATCTCTACTCTCTCCTTCTCAAAGTTCCTTCCTTTTAATAGACTCAGCTCATAGTTTCTATTTTTAGACATAACCCATGTTTAAAGTTCCCATCTTTGTATGTAGTTTTGAGTGATTATTACTAAATCCCAAATCTCTTTGGTGCAGGCCTGTTGTTAGTCTCGTTTATCCACTGTAAGTGTCTCAATGATTCATCTCTAAAGGGAAAAATCTTTACTTGGATCTAATGTCTTTCTAACTTCTTGTCCAGACATGCTTCAGTGAGAGCAATTGAAACTCAATCTCACGCTGATGACAAACAATGGCTCACTTATTGGGTTCTTTACTCTTTACTCACACTCTTCGAGCTCACATTCGCCAAACTCATTGAATGGTATAATAACATGACATGAATCCTTAAGTTTATTTCTTTTTTTGGTTGCTGATGATACTGTTGTTGGTGTGTAATAATAATCAGGGTACCGATATGGTCATATGCCAAGCTGATATTGACTTGCTGGCTTGTGATTCCTTACTTTAGTGGCGCTGCTTATGTCTATGAACATTTTGTTAGGCCTTTGTATGTTAACCCTCAGAGCATTAACATTTGGTATGTGCCTAAGAAGATGGATTTCTTCAGAAAGCCTGATGATGTGTTGACAGCTGCTGAGAAGTACATTGCTGAGAATGGTCCCGATGCTTTTGAGAAGATCTTAAGCCGAGTAATGCTCTCTCTCTTCCTCTCTCATTAACCAAATTTTGATCTCTTGTTTCAAAAAATGTGACTCTTCTTTACTCATAACCAAGTGTTTAAAAAATCGGTCTAGACACCCGCGTAATTAATAATCAACTATAAAACGTCTAAAAATAAAATGTCGCGTAGCGATTTCTTGAACATTGCTTATATCTATTTGCTTTGATCTTGCAGGCTGATAAATCAAGAAGATATAAGCAGCATGAGACCATGTATGGTGAGGAGTATCAGTATGAAGAGAACTTCAAAAGCTATTAACTTTAGAGTGTTGTTGAAGCTAGCAAGTTCATGTCTTTGATGCTTGTTTGTTTTGCTGCTTACTATTTTGTGTGAATCTATGTGGTGTAAAAAAAAGAAGTGCTAATAATGGAATCAAATTACAATGTTTGTGAGACTAGACAACATGAGGTTTGTTCATATATCTTTAAACTTATTGAAACCTGTTCAGTTCCAACAGATTTATGTCTGAAGAACAACAATCCCACAAAGACAATGAAGAATAGTATAACATGTAAGAACCCTAAAAAACAAGTCATTGGCTCTCAACTCTTATTAAAGAAACTCCATGCTCTAATTAGAATCAAATTACAATGTTGTGAGATTAAACAGCATGAGGTTTGTTCTTAAAACTTATTGAAACTTGTTCAGTTTCACCAGATCATACGTCTGAACAACAATAATGCCAATAACAAGTAAGAACCCTAATAAAGAAATCAATAACTTTTCCCTCAAGTCTTTCTCAACATCCCATAACAGCACAATTATACACACAGTTTCCTGTTTCCTTTGAAGCTAGAACTCTCCAATGCAGAGACTCACCTTCCCTTGGGACACAAGCACTGATCTCTATAAGCCCTCTTCCAAATGTAGGCCCTTTAACCACCACTAACTTATCCCCACAAGCCCTAAACGCCATCCCACAACCCTTCATAAAAGAAGCTCTCTCTGGTAAGTTCCCCACTTTGTTCCATACGTTACATCTCTTATCATACTTCCTCACCTCTTGCTGCGCGTAGTTCGCAGCATAGAGCTCGTCCTTCACCACCGCTACAATCGGTGGAGCTGCAAAGAAAGTCTCCTTTGTCTGATCTCCACCGCTGCTTGTTTCTGATAACATGTTAGGTATCAATGTCCATGTCTTCTTCTTCATATCATAGACCTCACCACACGTAAGCATCCCCGAGCTTCCCTCTCCTATACCTCCAATAACATAGAAGTTCCCATCCATAAACACACTTGAACACATCATCCTCGCCTTGTTCATGCTCCGAATAACCCTCCATTCTCCGGTCTCCGACTCCGAGTTATAAATCTCAGCAGAGCTCAATATCTTCTTCTCACATCTGTCACACCCTCCAGCTACAACCGCGACCTCACCTAGACTCGCTGAACCAAACAAGCTCCTAAGAGTATTCATTTTCCTACCACACGTCCACTCATTGGTCAAGATACTAAACTTGTAACTCAAATGGGGCGTAGCTGCATTACCGAACACAAGAAGCTCTGTACTAACGGCTAGAGAATTCTTTTCAGGACAGAAACAGTCGTTGACTGGTGGTAACTTCGGTACAGATAGCCAACGGTTTCTGTTAGGATCATAAGCTTCCCATTCCGAGCGTCTGCAGGAGAAGAAGATCAAATGCTCCACAATACCATTTGCACGTCTCAGCTGATACAGAGCCTTGTCCTTAACAAATGAGCGGAAGGCTCTACTCGTTAAGGCGATGGAGTTGAAGTCAGATAAAGAACAGTGAGCTAAGGAGCTGAGAAGTGCGTCATCGTCAAGTGTAGTTACAAGTACCCACTTGCTATCTACTCCCTCACATGAAGATGGTAAGAGATCACTCGTTGCCTCTACCATGACGCTAAGAAAAAAAACACACAATCAAACATAAACTCAAATTCCATCAATGATTTAAAGTCACAAACTTTATTCATATAAAATGAGACTCTAAGAAAACACACACAATCAAACATAAACTCAAATTCCATCAATGATTTAAAGTCACAAACTTTATTCATATGAAAAATGTTCTGAACTCAGCAAAAACAAACCATCATTAGAATAATCCACAAAAAACAAAAATTCAGATCCAAAGCTTTAAAAAGATGTGAACTTTTTTTATAAATGAAAAGCTCACCGGATTGGTTAGTTGAAGATCTGCGATAAAACTGAAACTGAAAATTTAAGACGAAACCCACTTTAGTTTTGTTTATTTTGAGTTGTGATTTGCTTTTTTTTTAACTTTTTTTTATTTTTCGATTCCACGAACGAACTAGTGGGTGATTTGTACAAATATAAAATCAAGAATAAAGTTCCCTGAGGAATCTCTTTGATAAAGAAAAAAGCTGAGGAATCTCTTTATATTAAGGAGATTCAAAAATCATGGCTTTGAAGCCCATTTACGACCTAACATGCAAGATTCTATTAATGGGCTGGATCTGCTTTTAGGCTTTTAACTCGTTTATTATCTCATCCATTTTGCTGTGAATTATTATTATTTTTTTCTTGTTGCAGGTTGCAATGGTCTCGATTTACTATGTTGCTAACTAAGAATAATCTAATTTTATTTTATTTTTTCCATAATTTCTAGACTTGTTAATATTTGTAATGGTGTTGTACTTTATTTTCACTGAAATTGAAAGTCTGGTCGCAGTAGCCTCAATTTAAAATGTGGTTAGTTGAGAATATCCTATTAAGGTATAGTATCTTGTTAATTATGTATCAATGAAAGATTAGTACCCTATCATCAACATAGTTAGCAGGCCTTGATGATAACTTGTGGCATGAGTAGGACTTGGACCACACCACACAACTTTCAAAATATGCAATAGTTACTTTGGTAATTAATGAATATAAGCTGTGCACCAGAAAATCTCGTTCTAAAAAGAACGAGACAATGGATTAGTGACATTACAAGTCAGCAACTCTCTCAAAGGAATCCTCCATGACATTCGCGTGTTGAGTCGATCCTTTCTATCAATCTCCTTTAAATTTGTTCCTCGTCGTTTTAATGATGTTGCCAACAGACTGGCCAAGGGTGTTTTGTTGGCCCTTGTAAACGCTTCGGCGAGTGCTGTAAACATTGTTTAAGTTTTAAGTAGTAAGAAGCAAGATTTGACCAAAAAAAAGGATTAGTGACATTAAATATTTACCCCCTAACTAATTATAGTTCATGGAACCTCATGCATGCAACTACTTTGCTTTGAAACTCTTTTTTGTCTCCTGGCTTATGGGACCACATTAAAAAAACAAGTTCTGACGCTAATTACAATCATTAAACATAAGCGAGGAGTTTATTATTGATTAAGGTAATCTAAAGAATTAATTTGCAAATTGTGAAAGGAAAGAACCTTAGACGATGGTGGACGTTGTCGATCATATTAATATAATATTGTTGACAACTTAAGTTTAAGTACCAAGTTGTAACATAGAAAACGAATCTGCATGACGTAGGGCGACCAAGTATTGATTTGTGTTGTCTAGATCAGACACGTTGAAGCCAGCAACCTACTGTCTTAATTTTGGTTGTTTTTTAAGAATGGTGACCAACTCGAATGTGCAAGAGGTAGTATAGCCTTTTAGGGTAAGTTATTTCGAATCACAACGCATAATGATAACATAAAGTTCCTGAGCACATAGAATATTTTGCGTCACTCTTTTACAAAATAGCCCTGTTCTTTTAATGGCCGCAGCTATCAGCGGTAGCGTCAACATAAATACACTATAACAGAAACAAATTGAATGGACTTTGGAGATGAAATCAGACGCGAACAAGTTTCCGGTGATACAAATAGCAGAAGCCGCTGTCACTGCTTTTATCAACGTCAGATATATTTCTTATTTTAGCCGCAGCGTCTGAAAAAGCAAATTGATTTTGTCCCGCCAGCAGTGTAATTGCCATGGTGAGAGATGTAGTTTTCACTCGCAGCCGCTAATCAATCGCCGCGTCTATGAAACGAACATGCCCAATGTGAACGCATACTCTTAGAGTTTTGTAGCGTTTCGCCACCTTCAAAAAAGCGTTTCACTACTTTGTCTTTTCATAAATTCATTTGTTTTTAAACTTAAAATCCGAATATATATAAACAGAGAGAAAATTATGTTTCTCTTCGGCATTTGCTTCTGCATATTAGAAAACAATCAAACTGTTTTTTGTTTAAGGAAAATAATCAAATTATGTTTTTAAAAATGTTGTCTATTTGAGAACCTTTAGTAAAAACTATTTCAATATATACTTCTAAAAAAAGTTCATATGAAAAAAAAAATATTGAAGCAACTGTACATGCATGCATATATTTTTCTCTTACTAGCTGTTTTCTGATAATTCTAATAATATACACACATAATTCCAGTAATACAAGCTTGTATACCGAGTTTTTTCCTCGACATAAGGATTAACTGGAAATTTACCTCGTTTTGTTTTGTCTTCATCGACGTAACCGCATTGAATTTATAAAAGATGCTGTTGTGGGTTTAGTTAAATTCACGTGCAGATTCAGAATTTATAGACTTTTGGGACTAATCCTAAGTCATAATCTTTTAATTAATTGCATCCTACAAATGGAGTGTGCCATTTTTATTTCTTTTTCTTAACAAGGAGTGTGCCCTTTCAACCTTCAAACTATTTGCCACATTACAGATACTGATCGACAATAAGTATTAGGCCAAAGAAAATAGTAAATTATGCTGCCAGGTAATTATTACTATGTTTATAAATCATTTTATAGTATATAGTACGAGTTATACGAGCAATATATAGCTGGTCACGTTTTTTTAGCAGTACTATACGATTAATCTTGTTTTGGTCGATGCCAAAGAGAAAAGAGAGAGAACACCTGAGATCAATCAAGGGTTAAATATTTAGATAACATCTATTTTTATTTAAGAATATTTCTATACATTATGCGATTCTCAGTTTCTAATCTAGTACCCACTTTCTTACATAATAACTTACCCAGTATATACATAGTTAACTGTAAGATAATACATATTTTCTAAACTAGTAGCACAAAATATTTGTTATTTACTAATATGCATGTATAACTAACTTTTAAGTTTTCTTTATTTTGACAATTATTTACATCGTTATACATGATTTAGAACATTAGTTCTAGTTAATTAATTACAAATAATGATTTCAATCAAAACAAGTAACACTTGGAAAAATGATGAATAGGTTATGTGTAGACAATGAATTATTAACCAATGGCACTACATTCCCTAGAATTGTGTTGTTTACATACAAAATCACAATAATAATTTCACATGCATTACGTTAAAAGCTCCGATAATTTACATTCTAAAAGTGAAGCTCAAAACAATATAAATTAAACTCAGAAAAATATATAACTATTAACAAGTCTTTAGCCACACAAATTAGGGCTTTATATCCTTTTAATTTAGGATGATTATATCCTGGATATATATAAGCATATACATATATCTGCTAGAAAAAATTAAAATGTTGACGTATAGTATTGAATCAGTATAGATTCCATTATGATTTATTTATATTTTAAGAAATATTAAAATCGTATTTAATGATGCAATAATTTGTTTTTTTAAAGTAGAACAAAACTAAAAACCAAAGGGATTCAGACAAAGCGAAACATGCAGCAAAATGAATAAAACAAACCGGTTTGAAACTTTTATACTGACTGAAGAAATATTGTAAGAATGGAATGCTCGTGAAATAAAGCTTAATCTTCGCTGTCGAGTTCGAGATCATGTGCCGCGAGAGACACGCTGACCTCCATTTAACGCATATGGGGCTCTCTCTATATAAACTAAAATCCAATACTCTATTTTTTATGCAATACCAATTGTACAATTAGTCAATTAGATCTTATCTCTCTAATATAGTCATTTTAATATTGCTAAGAAAATTTTCCATTGATTGCTTTGTTTGACCTCGTATATAGTATATTTATGCTCGCCCGGTATTTTAATTCAGGTCTCATACTCAAACTTTTCTCTCTAGACACTCTTATTTCTTTCATCATGTTCAATTCTATCCAGATATGTATTATATTTGCCGAATAATTTGGTATGGAGTTATCGGAGAAGAGGTCTATAATTTTATTATCTTTGTAATTTCCGGTGTAATTAAATTTACCTTGGAAAACGTTTTCAAAATTAAGGTTAATCTGTTACATAGCTAGTTTAATGGCTTGTTTCACAGAGAAAAAAAAAATAAGTTATTTCTAGAAATGTTTACGGAAAAGGCTTGATTTGTATCTAATGAACCAAAAGTATATTGCCATATATTCTCCAGTGTATTAAAATCTGAGATTTGTTGTTTCATCATCCTCCTACAGCTCATACTTCGATTGTACATATATAGTTTTTTTCGTTATACACTATCTTTTCAGAACATATTTCCTTATTTTCTTCGCTATATTTTAAACGGAAAAAAAACTTTACTTTTCAGGCTCAAAACTAGAATGAACATTTTACATGTATCAACTTAATATCATAAACATATAGACCACGCGTAAGAGATACAAAGTTTGGTTAATATCATTAGCATATTAGACCCCGCGCGCCTAAGAGATACAATGTTGCCAATTATACGATTTCTCTGAATTATTTGATTTGATACGTGTGTTTCGTGGTGCAGCCGATTAGTGCTTATAAAATAATGACGTTACGTGAATTAAGTTTTCACGTCGGTCGGTTTAAGCGTACGTGCCTCTCGAAATGCCACGTACGTGTGTGTCGTTGATCAAAGACCATGGCGTGTGTTTGTTTGGGTGTATGATCACTTTGACCAGTCAACCCACTCAGTTATACTGTCAAACGGTTCGATTCAATTAATGGAGAGAGTATGAATTTTCAGAATAGTTCATTGATTTTTTATACAGGGTATTTCAATTGGAAAGCCCTATAAATCGAATTAAAAAGTACATGTGGACGTGGTAGAACAAAACCCTAAACAAGTTGTGTGTTTCAGGACTTGAAAGTCTTTTATCATAGTGATGAAGTATTGCTTTCTCTTTATAGACGATTCATAGAAAGAGGTGATACATTTATGGGTAAAAGTTGTTTAGCAGCTACGAGTATATAGAAAATGTATTGATAGGGGGAAGGAGATGTTTCTACAGTCTATCATCTATCGTATTACTATGTACAAGGTTTAAAACACTTCTAATTAGACAGAATGATTGTATATCAATAAATGGATGTGATTTTTGTAACATATTGTTTTACATTAGTGGTGATAATAGATTAGTTCAATCGATTAGCACTTCAAAAAAA